TATGTATCTAGACATTAAAAATGTCTAGATACATAGCAAAATGGATGAATCAAAAAAGTCAAAACGACATTTATTTAAAAAAGGAGGTAGTATTGTTTTTAACATAAAACTCAACAAATTGAGAGAGAGAGAGAGACCGCAGCAACGCCCAATGCCGCCTAAACCCGCGACCACCGCCCGGAAATCAAATTCGACCACCCCTATTACATCACCTCCTCTCTCCACCGCTTCCGCCGCCGCTATTCCACCGCCACCCACCGCCGTTCGAGAAACAATATCACCACATGCTGCAGCTCTCGCTCCCCAGGCTCAGCCGCAAGGCCAACAACAAGCCCTAGCATCCAATTGGGGACTCGTGAACTCCGATTCCTTGAACATCGACGATAACAGAAACGAGGGATTGGGGAATTCCATTGAACCCGGGAAGCCCGGTATCGAGCATTTCGGGTCGGAGAAAATAATTCCCGTCGAGACCGGAGCTTCCGTGGGGAGCGGAGGTGGAGGGATGAGTGCGACCAATCCTTATCGTGCGTCAGAAGGAAGGTCCCAGCTGCAGGCTGAGGGTTCTGTAGAGCCCGTAACCAGGCCCAACAATGCCGTGGATGGCGTGGCCGGGCCCGGAAAGGTGAAGAAGACAATAGTGAAGAAGGTCGTTAGAGTTGTGAAGAAGGTGGTAAAGAAGAGGGTGCCGAAGAGAGCTCCCACTGTGATAGCTGAAGAGAGTGAGGTAACAAAAAGTTCTGATTTTGATAACAAATCTGATTCTGTAGATGAGTTAATAGAGAAACCCGGGATAGTAAGTGAGGCCGAGGGCACTCCGGACACAGCCGATGAGGTTGCTGAAAATTCGAATGTGGCTAATGATAATGTAAACGAAGCTGCGCAAACCGGCAGTAGTAATGAGGTTTTGGAAGAGGCAAATTTAGCAGACAATAAGAAATCAGAAGTTTTTATTAATTGTGTGAGTGTGTCCGAACCCGTTTCAAGGGAGAACGATAAAGATGCTAGTGGTAGTGTTTCTGGTGAAAGTGCTCAAGACCGTATAAGGCCTGATAATGATGAAAGTGGGTTGAATACTTTACACACTAACAATATGAAAAGTGATGATTCTATAACCTGCGCTCCAGATACGATGGAAGTTGAAAAGGTTTCTGTGGAGACAGCTGAGGGGGAGAATGGTACTATTAGGTCGAATGAAGGGCCGGTTTTGGGTGAGGAAAAGGAGGCATTGGAGAGGAAGGAGAGACGAAAAAACGAGATTTTTGTTGGTGGTTTGGAGGGCCATACTAAGGAGGAAGACATTAGGAAAGTGTTTGAGGAGTTTGGGGTCATTATGGAAATAAGAATTCTGATGTCTAATGGCACGGGGAGGAACAGAGGGTATGCCTTTGTGCGGTTTGAGTCGGCTGATGGTGCTAAAAATGCGTTGGCGAAATATTCTTATGCTGAGGTAACTTTCAGGTGCTGTTCTGGTTAGGTTGAAATTTTCTATGATTAATTGCAGAAGCTATCCTTGAGGTTCAGTCTGATTAGAGCAGAAGAAAAAAGATGGAAAAAACACGTCGTTATCTTTTGAAATTAGAAGTATGTAACTCAATGTTTGTATTTACCAAACAAAGTACCCGATCTTGGTGGTGCATTTTTTGTAAGACGAACAAGTTGTAGGAGGTACATTTATTATTTTAAAAGATAATTTTTTAATTATGCTAAACCTAACAAGTACGCTATGTTGTTTACTCGATCTTCGTTCCAGTTAGATTACCTTTAAACATGTATATCAAAGGCAAGTTTCTGATTTTGATTACACACTGCCCTTTGATTCTTCTCTTCCCATGTCGGCATGTTAAGTCGTGTTTCAAGTAGACACCATTATGTCCTACTTATAAAGGTTTTATGTCTCTTGTTCCTCAATCACTTTTACATCAACTTGTTATATTTGAATGTCTTGATCACCATCTTTTTTTGTACGCCTTCCATATAACTATGTTCAAATAGTGGCTTGTAAATATGACATTAATTAATGATTTGATTCTGGTAGATATGAATTTTACTAGCCCACATTGCTTTACTTTGTACCTTCTATGGAAGTTTTCCATTCGTATTTCAGAAACCTTATTCTGATTCTTATGTTTTCTTCTGTAATTTAAACTTAGATATGTGGAAAGCAATGTAATGTAGAACCATCCGGGGGCAATGATACTATATGTCTCAGCAATATTGACAAAAATTGGAAGACTGAAGATGTAAGGAAATCTATTTTGCTTGAATCTCGTTGAAGTCCTTATATGAAGTGGTATAATCAGAACTCTCTCTCTCTCTCTCTCTCTCTCTCTCTCTCTCTATCTCTCTCTCTCTCTCTCTCTCATTGCAGCTGATGACATTGCTAGAGAAAGAAGAGATTAAGAATATAGGTAAAGTGACTCTTAAGCCTGATCCGAATAATGTTGGAAAGAATCGTGGTTTTGCATTTCTTGAGTTCAAAACAAGTAAAGCTGCCCAAACTGCCTTTGATAAATTCCAAAAAAAGAATATTTGGGGGAAAAATCTGATGGTAGAAGTTGCATGGGCGAAACCATTATTAAATGACCCTGATGAAGAAGAAAATAAGGTTAGATTTCTTTGGAATCTAGTTTCTGTTCAGAAAATTAGAAATCTTATTACTGTATTCTGATGGGGCCCGCTCCCCAAACCTATAAATTTCTGTTGTATATGTGCTTGGCATGGAAAATGAAATATGTTCTGTCTGGTCTCGTTTTCATTCTCTGCCTGTGTGAAGACCAGCAACTGTTTCCAAAATAAAGATGCTGCTCCCACATGCATAGAGGCTGTCACTAGAGAGAGATTGCACGATCATGGCCCAAAGGTTCTGCATTTACTGGATAATTTGGTGTTACTTTACACTGTTACAGTAGATTTTACTTTTTCAGGAATTAATTGCTGATGTTGATTTTGTTTAGGTTAATAAAGCTATCCCACCTGCAACTGTAAAACCGAAAATAAATCAGATAAATCGAACAACACCTGATTGGACTCCAAAGCAACTGGGCAAAACACAGCCAAAGGCTGTACAGAGTGAGTACTTAATATAAATATGATTTAGGCAAAGTTTGTTGCATGCCCTAAATGTCAGTATTATTTGGAAACCTTAAACGGATGCCCGTTATGTGTATGCTTAAAGAAAAAGAGAATACCTTAATATGTAGTCAGATTATGTTGTGAATAAATTATAACTTTTCCTTTTCTGGGTTTTCTAGACTCCATTAAACTGCACGAACCTAGACACGAGTGGAAGCCTGCTAGCAGTAGTTATAATGGTGCGAAGATTGATAACGGTCCTTCTGTTACAAATGAACTTGTGCAAATATTGAGGCAACAAGCGTCAAATAGGAATTTCCATCCACAACCACAATCACAACCACTTCCAAGGACAGGTATCAATAGTTTAATTTTCTGTTCAACAGTGATATTAAGTAAAGAAATATTGTGGGCTCATTTTTTTTTTTCTTTTTATTGTTAATTCAAATAGGACTTGATCAACATATGTGAAATGGAAATTTAAATGAGTGAACTATCAAGTGTATTGGTGCTAGAGAACAGTTACTGCGTGTTAAGTACAGAAACTTGCAACTATACTTTTGTATGATGTGTTTGTAGATCATTTAGATGTGTGATTTGTTCTTCTATGATGTCTTTTTGAGTTATTGTTCATACTTCTTGGCTAGAACTAGCACATGCAGTTGCAGTAAAGCATATCAAATGAAAATGACCCAATTTGGTATTAAGTGGTCGAGTTTTGCGTGTTCATCATTTTGATTGCGTTCTTCTTTGATATTTTATCATGATCATGATAATTTATTGGTGCAACATTGTTGCGTAATAGGAGCCATAGCTCCAGACCTTCATTTCCCTTCCCCTGGAAGCAAGCGACCATTTTCACTTGTGGTATGTTTACTGAAGGTTCCCACCTCTTTTTTCTGCCCAATATTCTTCATGCAGACAGCTAAACTCCGCAATGTAATTATTTTTTTTCAGGGATACGATCCATGCCATTTGGAGCTTCAGGGACAGTCAAGAGCACGTACAGAAAGTTCTTATCCAATTTTAGTCCCAAGGTTTTTAGATATTTTAAGCTATAAAAAGCGCTCCTACTTGATGCCTCATATTAAATTTTTGGAACATCTCATTGTTTATTGATATTCTTACTGATCCTCGATTACTACTAATTTCAGTTCATCATCACTCGATGCAAATGCATTACCTATCCCAGGTCATCCTCAACAAATGCCTGCCCTCACATTGGGTTAGAATTTAGATACTCGTGCATGTAGAAATTTTCCTATTGGGTTTGTTGAGTGCAATAACAACTTGCAGATTATTTATGTTTGTCTTTCAGGGGCTCGTGTAGGAACAGGAAATCATCCTAGTCATTTTCAGGTATAGAGCCCAACTTCTCTTATCCTTTGTGTTCCCTTTGCCATCATCTTCTCGTCCGAAAAATCCTACTTTTATATATTTATTTATTTATTTTATCTTTAATTTTTTTGGCCAGGAGAGAGGACAAGCTCCTTATCATAGAGACCACAACATATTCCGCAGATGTAAGTAAAATGGCAGAGAATTTCTTATGCTATGAAATGCCATTCTTTTATGTACGTAGTTTTGTAAGTTTTGTAGAGACTGACATTTCAGATCGAATGTATGCATATTTGTTGAAAAAGTAAGGTTGTCTAGTCGTAAGACCTGTTAGTTACTGAATTTCAAGTCTAAGCGAATGGATTTTTAAGGTGTTCTTTATTGTTCTTTGAACGTTTTGTTTTGTTTGCATAGATTGAAGAACCATTTGCGATAAAATTGGAGGCGAAAAAATGCCAAACGCTGCGACGTATAGCTGACAATGAATTATACGGTGAACCAGGTGCACTTTGTATTGTGCACCAAAGTCCGAAAATTATTGTATTTTTAGCTAATAATATGAAATGTATTTATATATATATACATTTGTCTATTGTGTACTGATGCACATTATGTGTTGTGTAGTGCGTGCAATTTTAATAGATGGTCTTAGATTCATTTAATCTTATTTATGATACACATTGTGTGTTGTGCATGCAATTTTAATTGATGGCCGTAGATTCATTTCATCTTATCTATATATACATATATATATATATATATATATATATATATATATATATATATAGGGTTAAGATCATATGAGAATGGTTCTCTAGGAAAGAAATAAGAATAAATCTGGTGCATTGGATACACCATATCAATGGTTAAGATGAAGTCAAAATATAGTCAATCATTAATGGCAATATAGTAATATAACATATACATGGTGGTCAAATGTACATATTTGACCCATAATTAAGGGTAAATTTGTCACTATACACAATCACACCCAAACATGGGTCCACACCACCAAACCCGTCACCTTCCCCACCCAACTCTTCCCCTTCTTTACCTCTCTCACACAAATACACACACCTCACTTATTTTGAAACACACACACAGAGCACGCATACACATAATCACACACGGTTGCACCACCCCCGACCCTGCCATCTCCAACCACTAGCCCCATAGTTTCGCCGCCGTTTCCGCAGCCGACCCGCCCCTCGACATCCCTGACCTCCGCCGAACACAACCACAACGTCCTCTATCTCCCTATAACTATGGCACCGTCTCGCTGGAAAAATGGTACAGGATTTCCACCGCCGTCGAACGTTGTGACGCCGGCGTCCGTGTCAGAGAAACCCGATTCCACGGCAACCAGACGGACGACATCAAAGAGACGTACGTGAAACGCCCGGAAGATGAGATATATGGCTTATCATTTCCCGGACGTGAAACGCCGGCGAGGTTTCGACCTTGCACAATCGGACCGGACGCAGTAGACGGCGGGATAGAGTCGGCCAGGCGGTGGTCAGCTGACGACGGCGTCTCCATGGACATAGACGGGGCAGAAATTGATGTTTGGGATTGGGGTTAATTTTTTGAGAATTTGACATTGTTGAGGGACTTAATTGCAATATAATATTCCCTAAATATTTTAATTTATTAAAGACCTAGGGATGTGAATCGGTCATGAAGAGAATTTTGAACGTGTGCAAAGCTGCTTTCTGGAATTGTGGGCCCACCTAATCAGATATGAAATTCATTGGCATACTCTTGTTTTAATTTACTAGTATTACATTTTCTTCTTAAAAAAGAAAAACAAAGCAAAACATGTATGGCACAGTTGTAATTTTATAAATATTACACCTTAAGTCGTGTGAAATTTAAAATTGATCAAAACATATTTTTAACAATTCTATTTAGTATTTTATATTTTTGTTCGCTAATGATAAATAATGTTCTATAAAAATGTAAAGAAATAATAATATTTTTTTATATAGTTCGTGAATTTAAATATTTTGGTTATTTAAAAAAAACTAAAGTCGGTATTGGACCGAAATAATCAATATTTTTGAAAAAAATTAAATAATCAAACCGAGATATAAAATTACAAACAAAAAAATTTTAGCTCGGTCAGTATTAGTCGCTATTTGTGCAATCTAAATGTCATTAACGTGCAATTCATCCAACACTATTGTGCTATTGTGTCCTTGTAGTGCATGCGCTTTTAATGACTCGTCCCAAATCAAACTAAGATCGAACAATAATTGGTCTGTTCGAGCTGTTAACAAAATTGACATAAATAATTAAAAATATTTTATATTTATATTATAAAAATATATTGAGTAGTTTCATGTTTTTATATAATATTATGTAGTATTTTTTTATTGGGAAGACATATATTTATGTATATATAACAAAATAATTTTTTTTTTTATGTTCGGTCGTTTAGATTATTAAAAAAAAAAAAAACCGACATCGAACCAAAACATCAAATATTTTAAAAGTAAAAACAGATAATTGAGTCTTACTTTAAAATTGAAACCGTAAAATTTAGTTCGGTCGGTCTCGATTACTATTGTGCAATCTGATATTCATTAATGTGCATTATGATTAACACTAATGTGCACACGTAGTGCAGTAATTGCTTTACGATTTGTCCACAACAAAATAAGACCGAACTCGTTCGTTCATTCGATTGTAACCGAATTATCCTCAACAATCAAAATCATATGTTATTTATCTCATAAAAAATATATTTAGTATTCTAATATATTTATTTAATATTTATATTTTCTATTGTTGATTAAAAAATTATAAATATAATGGTAGTAAAAAAAAATTATATATTTAGATCAATTTAGTTATTATACAAAACTAAAATTGATGTTGAATCGTGATAACCAAAATATTAAAAATAAAAAGATCTATTTGAACCAACATACCAATTTAAATTAAACATTTTAGCTTGTTTGATTTCAGTCACTATCGTGAATCACGACAGTCATTATTGTGCATTATGCCATGCGGGCTTTATTGTGCATTCACGTAATATTGTGCAATTTACTTATCATTAATGTGCAAATTACTTAGTATTAATGTGCAGTTTAATTATGATTGATGTGCAACTAGTAAATTTCTAATAAATTATATATTTGTCCCATAGACTATTTTGTAAATAGTCGAAATAAATTATTCTTTATTTATCAAAAAATTATTTAATATTTCAATATTCTTATCTGTTATTTTATATTCGAGCCGACATCATACCAAGATAACCAAAATTTTAAAATTAAAAGTCAATAACTGAATTAACATATAAAAACTGAATTTAAAAGTTTATTTGAATAGATTTTAGTTATTTATTTATTTATTTTATTTTATGTCAAACATTGCACACCCATATACGCGTTACAAAAATAAAAAATGGAGATAAATTAAATGAATATTAATACTTGTGAAAATGCACGGTAGTGCAACAATAAAATTTTATTTTTCACAAGAGTTATTGCACAAAATACACTACTACGCTAATGTGCATTATAGTATGCATTAATGTGCACTTAGTATAACACGATAGTGCATTCAATAGTACTATATATTTAATGTGCACAACTTAGTATTTAATGTCCAATTATTTATCATTATTGTGTATTTATCTAAATTACATGAATTTCAGTTAATATTATCTCTGCAATTATCAAAATATTTGAATTATCAAAATATATTTAGTAGTTATAATTTCTTTATTTAATATTTTATATATATTTTATTGAAAATAATTAATATATATGTATAGATAACATCTAAGAAAATATTTTTTATATAGCTCAATTTTTATTAAGTTATTCCTCTTTTATAATAAGCCGAAATCAAACTAAAATAACTGAATTTTTAATGTGAAACGAAAAAAAAACACTAACATTACAGTATATATATTCATACTTTTATATGCATAATCATATTCATACACACATGTACATTTAATAAACTTTTAATAAATTATATATTTGACCTCCAAACTAAATTGCATTATAATGAAAATTCATAAAATTGCAAAGAAGTCCCTTGTAACTATCTAATTTCTAAAAAGAAGCCCTTCAATACAAAATTCAGATTTAAGCTTTCCCATCATCTCCCAGTCTCCACGATTACCAGCAATGGAGATTCGCCGGAACGAAGCCTCCGTGTTCCGCACCTGCACCCGTACTGGCCGTCTCAACTCCAGATAGAACATGTTTCCGCCATGGCTGGAGCTGACCATTTCTTCGGCTCGCCACGCCATGGGTGGAGCTGGACGTGCTGTCGCCCTGCCACCACCATCGATTCTCACCGTCGATTCTACTGTCGCCGCCGCTACGGATTGTCTCTAAGATCCCTCCGGCGGTCGAGGATGTTGCCTGCGGATCTTCACTGCTCCGGTGGTCGATGTCCTGCAAGTCCGGTTTATGTCGCCATAGAAGGCGTCGTTGTTGTGGCCACAGACGCCGTTGTGCAGAATCCGGTGAGACATTGACCAGAGGCAGAACCGATTTTTTGGTTGCAGAGAGAGGGAGGGGGTGGCAGGTGGGGGAAGAGAGAGAAAGTGGAATTGTGGGAGAGATTGGTGGTGACACACTGACACGTGAATAGTTGTGTTGGTGGAAGCGGGCCTAATGTTGGGTTGGTGAAAAATGTCAATACTGCCCTTAATTTGTGTAAGATTGATGCTTTTTTTTAATACCGTCAGATGATTTAATTGGAAGGCTATGATGCATTCTTATTTCTTTCCCTGAGCACTATTCTCACCGGAGCGCGACCCTATATATATATATAATTGTTGGCATGTAGCATTTAATAAAACATTTAATAAAACTTTTAAAATTTTTCCTCCATTTTCGGTTACAAAATTTGTCATTAGTATTTTTTACTTCTCGCATTAATACATCTTAATGAGTGTAATCATGTATGTTTCTATTATATTATATAATAGTTATTGTAAATACCAACTAATAATAATTCACAATAAATATAAATTACATAATTATAAACAATTGTTTCAAGTTATGTATTTTAACATCAACTAGTTTTTAACCCGTGCATTTGCACGGAAAGCATTATAATAGAACAAAAAATAATGAAAAGATATAAACAATAGTAAAAATCATAATATAATCATTGGAAAAATGTTCTAAAAAAGAACAACTAAATATTGTCAAACAATTCTTTATATACAACGTTTGTGATTTGTCTATCAATAGAATCTCCATCACTACAAATCACTATCTTCAAATTAAGACATATAATGGTTTTATTTTTAAAATAATTATTGTATTTTGTGCTATAGATCATATAGGAAATTTTAAAAAAAAAATACTATAAAAATACCAGCAAAATATTACAAAATAAATAATTGTATTTGATTGATAAATAATGATATGTGCCAAATATTTAAGACATTTGAACAAAGTGACAATTTTTGGGCGATTGAATGATAAAAAAAGGCCCAAATTAGAAGTCCACTGAATTTTTTAGGGTAGCCAAAATCAAATATAAAACAGGTCAATGAAAACATGACTATAAATAGAGATAAACTCCTTGAGTGATTTAAGCTAATTTTTTTGTTTGATGTCGGCGCTTCTTTCGTTATTCATTATGTCTGAAACCCTAATCCTTAACCCGATCTTACGACAAACTCGGCGAGATTCAATACAAAAAAAATATTTTACCGAAGATTTTCTCCCAGTAAAGGCTTAAAAAAAAATCCGAGAAATGTTGTTTTTGTGGCTAACAGTAGTGATCAAAAAATAAATATCCGTCCCGATTTCTTAATCTGTGTTGCTAAATTTTAACAGGTCCGTCAAAATCGGGCGATAATATTACAAATCTATGAAGAGCTGAAATATTTTTTGTTAAACATAGTTTTTATTTTTTATTATTTTCAATGATCTGTGTCGTTTTTCGAAATTATTTTTGAATAAGCTTCAAAGATATATCATATTTTATACATAATTCGATATTATCTAGATGTTTTTCGAAATCGTTTTTCGAAGAGAACATGATATTGGTCGAATATTTTCAAACTTTTATGTATTTTGTTCAGGGTCTGAAAAATAGGTAAGTTTCTAACAGATCTGTTCAGCTCTACTAACAAATATATAGGTAAGTCTATAACATATATGTTCATATATATGTAACTTTTATGTATTTTATTGAGATTTTGAACAGTAAATAGTTCAATTCTTTTTCGTCTTTCTCATCATAACAGTAAGTGAAGCTTTCCTAACACTTGTTCAAAATCGCTTTTCGAAGTTGTTCAAAGTCTTTTGCCGAAGTTTTTTTATAAGTTTTTAGTATTCTGTTCAAAATTTGGAAATATTAGGTAAGTTTATAACAAATCTGTTTACATATATTTCTCACATATTATGAATTTCTTGTTTATTGTTTAAAAGAATCTGTAGGAATTTTTATTTTTAAAACTTTTACGCAAAAATCGATTTTAATATAAAGGCAGATGTCTTGGTAAAAGTTGAATGTGTTGATAATAATAGGGAGATCAAATTATTTTTCTTTTTATATTGTATAGTGTCCAATAATGTTCCACATAATTTGTTGTGTTTTTAATCATGATTTTTTTTTCATATAGATTTGACTTTTTTTTGTTGATTATTAATTATGCTTGATATTTCTATATTATACAACAATCTGCCATTACATATAATGCCTTGTCAATCCTCATTCTTTGACTTTGCCAATTTCCGTTTAATATGACTTTTCTGTTGCTGAAAGTATGGTTTTTATGCCTTAAAATATTGATGTTTTGGTTATATTTTGATGCTATAATCCTGCAAAAATTTGGACCGCCACTTTTTTCTTAAAGAGAAATTGTTTAGTGAAAATTAATCATATTTATAATTATAATTGTGAAATAATATTTTTTTTCACGCCAACAATTTTTTTTTTTAATAAAAATATGAGACAATTTATTCAACACACTTTTTAATTTATAAAACAGAATGTTGATTGCGATAATCAAATCTGCAGAAATCATGCATTTTATTGAATAGTAGTAATATAAAATATTTTATTATTACTACCAAATGGAAAGTCAAAGATAGTCAATTTTGCACTATTAATTATGATCCTATGACTTTTTTTTATACATATGTTTTTTCAATGAACTTTTAAATGATAATATTGACAATATAGACTTTGCTATAATAATTATATAGACTGTTAATTTATTTATTTACTTCATAACTTTTTTTAATTCATCTTATTATGCGTATAGTCTAACTTTATAAATTATATGTCATTTAAATGTATATATACTACTAATTTATAAAGTTTTACCATTTGGGGGAGCTAAATTTTATTTTAATTATGAAACTAATCTTTCTTATCATTTTGCAGCTATATGTTTGATGGAGCATAGCTGGAAATTAAATTAAAAAAAAAAAAAAAAAAAAATTATTGTAATGTAACATGATCTGTATTATAATGTTTGTATTTATTACATTTATTAATATTTTTTATAACTTTAATTGCTTATTCAATTTATAACTAATTAGGTTTAACTAAAAGAAACCTTCTTAAATGTGGGATTAATGAGTAATTAATTAAAAAAAATGTAACCTCTTTTGGAGGGAAAGTGAAATGTTTTTATTGAATGTTTTATTAAATAGGATTAGCTAGTAATTATATATATATAGATATTATTTCATTTCTTTTGTATCTCATAAAAAAATTTCTTTAAAAAAAATTAGTAAATTGTTTTTATAGCATAGTTAAACAACTTTAGAATCTTATAAACAATTGTTTTTTAATTATATATATATATATATATATATATATATATATATATATATAATTGCTAGCTTAACATTTAATTTTACTATTTAATAAAACCTCTAAATTTTTTTCTCTATTTTCAGTTACAAAATTTATCATTAATATTTTTACTTCTCACATTAACACATCCTATTAAGTGTAATCATGTAGTTTTCTATATATTATATAATAGTTATTGCTAATACCAACTAATAATAATTCACAATAAATATAAATTACATAATTATAAACAATTGTTTCAAGTTATTTATATTAACATCAATATTATCTTTTTCTTTTGTATCTCATGAAAAAAATTCTTTAAAAACAATTAGTAAATTGTTTTAATAGCATAGTCAAACAACTTTAGAAGCTTATAAACAATTGTTTAAAAATAATAATAATAATAATAATAATAATAATAATAATAATAATAATAATAATAATAATAATAATAATAATAATAATAATCAAACTGTTATTATCTAATGATAATAAACAATTATTCATAATAATAAAATAGTTAATTTATTTTTCCTAATGATCAAATTTTTGAAAATGTAATATGTTCATTATCTAGAATTTTAATATTAAATTCTCAATATTACTTAATAATATTTTATGTACATCTGTGCATGCATCTGTGCATGTGCACAGGATATCTACTAGTTTATATGAACTGTTAACATCATCAATGTGATGTATGTAATTTTAATTGGTCTCTCTCTCTATATAT